CATTTGATTTCTGGTCTCCACCGAACTGACTTCCACAAATCGCCTGCATTACAATCTACTGGGAGATCAGGTGATGCGTTACGTGGACAGAGATTTACGCCTTCACGAACAACTCAGAAAGGCACAGTTTGAATTTACTCAGCATCTTCCGAATACTATTTCACACCTTATCTGTATCCTCATATTCCACAAATATGAAATTCCCACTCTGACGCCTATTTCGGTTGCATCTGCCTAGTCAATTTTATTCACTGTTTCCATTTATTCATGTCAGCACTCATCAAATTGTTGATGTCACGTGGGTTGAAACATTTTCTCGTCAGTGTGTCTTCACTCTCAATAATATTGTTGTACATAATCATATATATTCAGTAAACATATTTTGATAGAGCAGACTTCGATGCCACAAGCATTTGTATGAAAGCACATTTTGACATATATTCAATATGATATACTTATCTATGTATATGTTTACAAATGTGCACAGAAATTCATCCTGGTTATTTTCATGTAATGAGCTGTGTATTTGTGCTTGCATGGTAATGGTTGTTTACTCATACTTTCACCAGCAGTTTGATGATTGTTATCCACAATTACGTTTTTGTAAATAAATTATTCGGATGCATGTAAACACAATATTTTTGGAACGTAGGGTGTCTTTTTTCCATGATGTTTCCAATTTTCAATTTTTATAAATATAATTCAGCAATCTTTCAAAATGAGAAATTTCTCCAGAAAATACTTACTTTTCACGCAGTTTTTCTTAACTACATTGAGAAATATTAAAATGTCATTTTGAATTCAAATATTGTAGAATACATTCTTGATAAATAAATAAAATATAGAAAAGACAACGAAGAACAATACAGTTCAAACTTAATCAGTGTTGCGTAGGCACACAGCGAATATAACCAATCAACAATAATAGTTTGTGTCAGTCCACAACGTTTCATTATTTGTTGTGCTTATCCAGATAGGTTCTCTACACCTATTGAATTCCATTCACGAATGGTGAATTGAAACAGTCTGCTCACAAAGCAGTGTCATCCACAGAGACTTTGTGATGATTGCATCTATTTGTGATTGGCGTGATTGTCCAATGACATGGTAACGCGTACTCGAACTACTTAGAAAGGCACACTTTGGATTTACTCAGCATCTTCCGAATACTATTTCACACCTTATCTGTATTCTCATATTCCACAAATATCAAATTCCCACTCTGACGCTTATTTCGGTTGCATCTGCCTAGTCAATTTTATTCACTGCTTTCATTTATTCATGTCAGCATCCATCGAATTGTTGATGTCACGTGGGTTGAAAGATTCTCTCGTCAGTGTTACTTCACTCTCCGTAATCTTGTAATACATATTTATATGTATATATATATGTTTATATTTATGTATATTTGGTGAACACATTTTGATAGAACAGAATTCGATGCTACTTGCATTGGGATGAAAGCACATTTTGACTTATTTTCAATATGATAAATTTATCCATGTATATGTTGACAAATGTGCACAAAGTTCATCCTGGCTATTTTCATTCAATCAGCCCTATATTTGTACTTGCATGGTGATTCTCGATATTTCATAAATTCACCAGCAGTTTATCGGTTGTTTTCCACAATAACTTTGTAATAATTAAATTATTCGGATTCATGTTCACACACCATATTGCAAGCCTTGTAATTCAAAAACTGTTTTTTCCTTCCAAGGTTATACTGTTTTCACATATACCTTAATACTTCAAAAATTATTATATTTAGCAAAATGGATATACCTTTTACACAGTCTTCGTGATTTGCATTGACGAAAAAAATGAAATTTAATTCATTTTGATTATTTCAAATGAAATGTGTCAAAATAGAAAAAGTCATTATTAATGCAGCCAAACACTGGACAGTAAAGCTCATCTATGTGAAAACATAGGCATACAGAGAATACCACTCATTCACAAAACTAGTTTCAAAAAAGATTTCATAATTTGTTGTGTCTATCCAGATCGCGTCTCTACACCTATTGAATTCCATTCACGAATGGTGAATTGAAACAGTCTGTTCACAAAGCAGTACCATCCTCAGAGTCTTTTTCTGATGATTGCATCTATTTGTGATTGGCGTGATTGTCTACGGACAAGGTGGACGAGAGATTGAAGACGAAAGAAGACAGAAACTGTAATTGTCGACTGCAGGAGGTGACGTCTGCGTTTCAGAAGGACACGACAACCTAGTAGTGATTACAAGCATGTCTGACAGTATGCTGACTGTGCAGTGCAACACTGGTTTCTGCTCACACTATGTGCTTGCTTCATTTGATTTCTGGTCTCCACCGAACTGACTTCCACAAATCGCCTGCATTACAATCTACTGAGAGATCAGGTGATCCGTTTCGTGGACAGAGATTTACGCCTACCCGAAGAACTCAGAAAGGCACAGTTTGAATTTACTCAGCATCTTCCGAATACTATTTCACACCATATCTGTATTCTCATATTCCACAAATATGAAATTCCCACTCTGACGCCTATTTCGGTTGCATCTGCCTTGTCAATTTTATTCACTGTTTCCATTTATTCATGTCAGCACTCATCAAATTGTTGATGTCACGTGGGTTGAAACATTTTCACGTCAGTGTATCTTCGCTCTCATTTATATTATTATACAAATACATATATTTCAGTCAACACATTTTGATAGAAAAGACTTCGATAATACATGCATTCGGATGGGAGCACATTTTGACTTATTTTCGATATGATCAAGTTATCTATTTATATGTTGACAAATATGCACAAAAGTTCATCCTGTCTATTTTCATGTAATCAGCTGTATATTTGTAATTGCATGTGGATACTTGTTTACTCATACTTTCTCCGGCAGTTTATCGGTTGTTATTCACATTTTTTTATAAATCATTCATTGGAATACATGTTCACGAACCACGTTATTCCCTGCACCATCCCAGATTATTGTGAAATAGTTCGAAAAAATCTTTGTGACAATGCCTCACGATAACGGATATATATATATTTAACTGTATACCTACCACGTCTGCATTCTTTGAAGTTTGCAATCGAAAGTAATAAAAATAAATTTAAATGTTAACGTAAAACACATTCAATAAAATATGTAAGTCATACAAAAGATAACGAAGGCCTTGGCAGTACACTCTGAACCTATGACGACATAGCCACAAAGCGAATATCACCACTCCAAAATAATAGTTTGTGTCAGTCCACAACGCTTTCATAATTTATTCTGCCTATCCAGATCGCTTCTCTACACCTATTGAATTCCATTCACGAATGGTGAATTGAAACAGTCTGTTCACAAAGTAGTATTATCCTCAGAGTCTTTTTCTGATGATTGCATCTATTTGTGATTGACGTGATTGTCTACTGACAAGGTGGACGAGAGATTGAAGACGAAAGAAGACAGAAACTGTAATTGTCGACTGCAGGAGGTGACGTCTGCGTTTCAGAAGGACACGACAACCTAGTAGTGATTACAAGCATGTCTGACAGTATGCTGACTGTGCAGTGCAACACTGGTTTCTGCTCACACTATGTGCTTGCTTCATTTGATTTCTGGTCTCCACCGAACTGACTTACACAAATCGCCTGCATTACAATCTACTGAGAGATCAGATGTTCCGTTATGGGCACAGAGATTTACGCTTACCTGAACTATTTCGATAGCCACAGTTTGAATTTACTCAGCATCTTCCGAATACTATTTCACACCTTATCTGTATCCTCATATTCCACAAATATGAAATTCCCACTCTGACGCCTATTTCGGATGCATCTGCCTTGTCAATTTTATTCACTGTTTCCATTTATTCATGTCAGCATACACTAATTTGTTTAGGTCAGGTTGGTTGACAGATGCTCCCGTCAATTTTTACCACTCTCGGTAATATTGATATACACTTATGTTTTTTCATCAACCTTTTGATAGAACAGACTTCGATGATACATTCTTTCGAATGAAAGCAAATTTTGACTCTTTTTAATATGATAAGTTTATTTATGTATATTTTGACAAATGTGCACAAACGTTCATCCTGGCTATTTTCATTCAGTCGGCTGTATATTTGTACTTGCATGTGGATACCTGTTTACTCATATATTAGCCATCGGTTTATCGGATTTTCACCACAATAACTTTGTTTTAAATAAATTGTTCGCATTCATCTTCTTACGCTATTTAGTAATCTTATCAGTATCATCTCCAAATCTTTCAATTTTTCGAGATATAATTTAGGAAAATAAATCAAGATATATATAATCAAAACCAGAAGAAAATATATTTACCTTTATCAGTGTCTTCGTTTTTCGCATTTCGGTAATAAAAGAATAAAATTAAAATTAATAATAAAAGTACAGAAAAAGATGATAGAAATTAAATAAATAAATACACCACAAAATTCCCGGTGTAACAACAGAAGACAAGGGCCATGACACAGATCAGTTTTATTACGAAAACCAACAGGTATTTATATGTTTTTTACGTACATTAATAAGGCTCTGCCCGCAGAAAGAAGGCGGTCTTCTGATTGGTTGTTTGCGAACAAACGCAGTCTTCTGCTTTCTCGTTTTCGATATTTCTCGGAAATGCGAGCCACTTGTCTGCGAATCATATTTGTGCACGTCTAGGTCAGCTGTGATCGGTTGTTGAATCAGCCTAGATTAATTTCCACCAATCAACGTAGATCAATGTCTACCAATTGGCTAGCAGCCTGCTCACACCACACCGGTTCATTCCCGATCTCTAATGACAAATGTTTACGGCTAATATCACTCCTTCAAAATAATAGTTTGTGTCAGTCCACAACGTTTTCATAATTTGTTCTGCCTATCCAGATCGCTTCTCTACACCTATTGAATTCCATTCACGAATGGTGAATTGAAACAGTCTGTTCACAAAGCAGTACCATCCTCAGAGTCTTTTTCTGATGATTGCATCTATTTGTGATTGACGTGATTGTCTACGGACAAGGTGGACGAGAGATTGAAGACGAAAGAAGACAGAAACTGTAATTGTCGACTGCAGGAGGTGACGTCTGCGTTTCAGAAGGACACGACAACCTAGTAGTGATTACAAGCATGTCTGACAGTATGCTGACTGTGCAGTGCAACACCGCTTTCTGCTCACACTATGTGGTTGCTTCATTTGATTTCTGATCGCAACCGAACTGACTTCCACGAATTGCCTGCATTGCAATCTACTGAAAGATCAGATGTTCCGTTATGGGCACAGAGATTTACGCTTACCTGAACTATTTCGATAGCCACAGTTTGAATTTACTCAGCATCTTCCGAATACTATTTCACACCTTATCTGTATTCTCATATTCCACAAATATGAAATTCCCACTCTGACGCCTATTTCGGTTGCATCTGCCCAGTGAATTTTTTTCACTGTTTCCATTTATTCATGTCAGCACTCTACAAATTGTTGATGTCACGTGGATAAAATCATTTTCTAGTCTGTGTATCTTAACTCTAAATAATATAACAATACATATAGTGATATATTTAGTCAACATATTTTGATAGATCAGACTTCGATACTACATGCATTCGAATGGGAGCACATTTGGACTTATTTTTTTACTATCATTAAATTATCTATGTATTTGTTGAGAAATGTGCACAAAAGTTCATCCTGGCTATTTTCATGTAATCAGCTGTATATTTGTAATTGCATGTGGATACTTGTTTACTCATAATTTCACCAGCTGTTTATCGGTTGTTTTCCACAATACATATTTATAACAATATTATACGGATCCATGCTCGCAACTTTTTTGATGACTCGATAAAATCAACACCTTATTACTTTTATGTTGCATTATATTACACGTAGCCATCCAGCATAATGAAAATTATACATAGGCAAGTATATATGTTCTTACTTATATTTTTGTGCTTCACTAAACGTTAAAGTAAAAACCATTAATTAATTTCTCAAAAGCAATAAGAAATGTAACTTTCATTTAAACACACGTCATACCTGGCAAAATAAAAACATGAAAAATCATTCTGTAACTGCAAGGAAATAGGAAACCAGCGAATACCACTCCTTCACAATACTAGTTTCTGTCAGTCCACAACGTTTTCATAATTTGTTCTGCCTATCCAGATCGCTTCTCTACACCTATTGAATTCCATTCACGAATGGTGAATTGAAACAGTCTGTTCACAAAGCAGTACCATCCTCAGAGTCTTTTTCTGATGATTGCATCTATTTGTGATTGGCGTGATTGTCTACGGACAAGGTGGACGAGAGATTGAAGACGAAAGAAGACAGAAACTGTAATTGTCGACTGCAGGAGGTGACGTCTGCGTTTCAGAAGGACACGACAACCTAGTAGTGATTACAAGCATGTCTGACAGTATGCTGACTGTGCAGTGCAACACTGGTTTCTGCTCACACTATGTGCTTGCTTCATTTGATTTCTGGTCCCCACCGAACTGACTTCCACAAATCGCCTGCATTACAATCTACTGAGAGATCAGATGTTCCGTTATGGGCACAGAGATTTACGCCTACCCGAAGAACTCAGAAAGGCACAGTTTGAATTTACTCAGCATCTTCCGAATACTATTTCACACCTTATCTGTATTCTCATATTCCACAAATATGAAATTCACACTCTGACGCCTATTTCGGATGCATCTGCCTAGTCAATTTTATTCACTGTTTACACTTATTGCTGTCAGCACTCATCAAATTGTTGATGTCACGTGGGTTGAAACATTTTCACGTCAGTGTATCTTCGCTCTCATTTATATTGTTACACAAACACATATATTTCAGTCAACACATTTTGATAGAAAAGACTTCGATAATACATGCATTCGGATGAAAGCACATTTTGACTTGTTTTCAATATGTTCAAGTTATCTATTTATATGTTGACAAATGTGAACAAAAGTTCATCCTGTCTATTTTCATGTTATCAGCTTCATATTTGTAACTGCAATGTGATACTTTTTAATTATACTTTTAACAGGAGTTTATCGGTTGTTATTCTTAATAAGTTTGTTGTAAATGCATTATTCGGATCCAGGTTTCGTATTGTGTCTTAGGCACTGGTATGTCCAATGACAAAGACGTCAATAAATATGAATTATACAGCGCACGAAGTTAAGCATATTTAAATCGAAAAATAATTTATAATTAACATTCACCTCCAAAACAATTTGCTTCTGTTCAGAAAAATAATAAAAAAATATTTCTCAAAATAAACAATCAAGAAAATATACATGAAGAAAAGAAAACGAAATCCAGATGCTGACGAAGCACTAACACTTCATTATTTCTATCTGAAGATATTAGTATACAGTGTATATCACTGTTTCACAAAACTAGTTTGTTTCAGTGCACAAAGATTTCTTAATTTGTTCTGCCTATCCAGATCGCGTCTCTACACCTATTGAATTCCTTTCACGAATGGTGAATTGAAACAGTCTGTTCACAAAGTAGTATCATCCTCAGAGTCTTTTTCTGATGATTGCATCTATTTGTGATTGGCGTGATTGTCTACGGACAAGGTGGACGAGAGATTGAAGACGAAAGAAGACAGAAACTGTAATTGTCGACTGCAGGAGGTGACGTCTGCGTTTCAGAAGGACACGACAACCTAGTAGTGATTACAAGCATGTCTGACAGTATGCTGACTGTGCAGTGCAACACTGGTTTCTGCTCACACTATGTGCTTGCTTCATTTGATTTCTGGTCTCCACCGAACTGACTTCCACAAATCACCTGCATTACAATCTACTGAGAGATCGGGTGTTCCGTTATGGGCACAGACATTTACGCTTACCTGAACTATTTAGATAGCCACAGTTTGTATTCACTCAGCATCTTTCGAATACTATTTCACACCTTATCTGTATTCTCATATTCCACAAATATGAAATTCCCACTCTGACGCCTATTTCGGTTGCATCTGCCTAGTCAATTTTATTCACTGTTTCCATTTATTCATGTCAGCATTCATCAAATAATTGTTGGTGTCACGTGGGTTGAAAGATTCTCTCGTCAGTGTTACTTCACTCTCCGTAATCTTGTAATACATATTTATATGTATATATATATGTTTATATTTATGTATATTTGGTGAACACATTTTGATAGAACAGAATTCGATGCTACTTGCATTGGGATGAAAGCACATTTTGACTTATTTTCAATATGATAAATTTATCCATGTATATGTTGACAAATGTGCACAAAGTTCATCCTGGCTATTTTCATTCAATCAGCCCTATATTTGTACTTGCATGGTGATTCTCGATATTTCATAAATTCACCAGCAGTTTATCGGTTGTTTTCCACAATAACTTTGTAATAATTAAATTATTCGGATTCATGTTCACACACCATATTGCAAGCCTTGTAATTCAAAAACTGTTTTTTCCTTCCAAGGTTATACTGTTTTCACATATACCTTAAAACTTCAAAAATTATTATATTTAGCAAAATGGATATACCTTTTACACAGTCTTCGTGATTTGCATTGACGAAAAAAATGAAATTTAATTCATTTTGATTATTTCAAATGAAATGTGTCAAAATAGAAAAAGTCATTATTAATGCAGCCAAACACTGGACAGAAAAGCTCTTCTATTTAACGCCGTGTGCATACAGCGACTCTTTCTTCATCACATTACAAGTTTGTGTCAGTCCAAAACGTTTTCATAATTTGTTCTGCCTATCCAGATCGCTTCTCTACACCTATTGAATTCCATTCACGAATGGTGAATTGAAACAGTCTGTTCACAAAGCAGTACCATCCTCAGAGTCTTTTTCTGATGATTGCATCTATTTGTGATTGGCGTGATTGTCTACGGACAAGGTGGACGAGAGATTGAAGACGAAAGAAGACAGAAACTGTAATTGTTAACTGCAGGAGGTGACGTCTGCGTTTCAGAAGGACACGACAACCTAGTAGTGATTACAAGCATGTCTGACAGTATGCTGACTGTGCAGTGCAACACTGGTTTCTGCTCACACTATGTGCTTGCTTCATTTGATTTCTGGTCTCCACCGAACTGACTTCCACAAATCGCCCGCATTACAATCTACTGAGAGATCAGGTGATCCGTTTCGTGGACAGAGATTTACGCCTTCACGAACAACTCAGAAAGGCACAGTTTGAATTTACTCAGCATCTTCCGAATACTATTTCACACCTTATCTGTATTCTCATATTCCACAAATATGAAATTCCCACTCTGACGCCTATTTCAGGTGCATCTGCCTAGTCAATTTTATTCACTGTTTCCATTTATTCATGTCAGCATTCATCGAATTGTTGATGTCACGTGGGTTGAAACATTTTCTTGTCAGTGCATTTTTACTCTACGTATTATTGTCAAATATCTGTGTATATATAAATGTATGTAGTCAACACATTTTGATAGAACAAGCTTCGATAATGCATGCTTTCCTATGAAATCACATTTGGACTTATTTTTTTACTATCATTAAATTATCTATGTATTTGTTGACAAATGTGCACATAAGTGCATCCTGGCTATTTTCATGTTATCAGCTGGATATTTGTATCTGCATTGTAATACTTGTTTACTCGTACATCACCTGCAGTTCATCCGTTTGTATCTACAATAATTTGTTATTAATAAACTTTTCTTATCTATGTTTTCACACAATATCCATAACCTGTGTCGTCAGCATAATACTGTTTCGAATGCAAATAAATAATTCTTTCAAAAAATTATTTTAATTGGAAGCAATAAAAAAATTGACAAAGAAGTGAAGAAGAGTGCCAGGAAGGACAAAAGACAATTCTACGACAACCTGGCTACTGAAGCTGAGAAGGCAGCAGGCAAAAGGGACCTGAGGACACTATATCAGGTAACCAAATCTCTATCCGGGAAGAGATCAACACAAGTGAAACCTATAAAAGACAGCCAAGGGAACCCAATTACCAAAGTAGAAAGACAGATTAAACAATGGGCGGACCACTTCAAAGGACTCTTGAACCGACTTCCACCTACAACCCGTCCAGTAATACCAACAACAGCACGTACACAACTGCAAGTTGACACCAATCCTCCAACGAAAACTGAAGTCATGAATGCAATCAATCTTCTGAAAGCTGGAAAAGCAGCTAGACCAGATGGAATACCCCCGGAAGCACTGAAAGCGGACCCAGAAACGACGGCAGATATACTGACTCCATTATTGCAAAAGATCTGGAAAGAGGGAAAGGTGCCTACTGACTGGAGGAAAGGTTACCTGGTGAAACTACCAAAGAAGGGCGACCTGGGACTCTGCAAGAACTGGCGAGGAATCATGCTCCTGTCGACGCCAAGTAAAATCCTGAGTCGCATCATCCTGGAGAGAATAAAGGACGCACTGGATACAGAACTCCGTCCAGAACAAGCTGGATTCAGGAAAGGCAAATCATGTTCTGACCAAATTGCAACTCTACGCATTATGATCGAACAAAGCATGGAATGGCAATCAAATCTCTACCTCAACTTCATAGACTTTGAGAAGGCCTTCGACAGCGTTGACCGCGAAGTTATTTGGAAACTACTCGAGTACTACGGCGTACCCCAAATATTCATCAACCTTATTCAACAACTGTACGACAACGGCACATGTCAAGTGATCCACAACGGAAAACTCAGCGAAGCGTTTGGAGTAAACACAGGAGTCAGACAAGGGTGCTTATTATCACCAATGATATTCCTAATTGTGGTGGACTGGATTATGCGTCAGACAGTGGGAAACGAGAAGACAGGGATATCCTGTACCGACGTGAAGAACCTAGAAGACCTGGATTTCGCGGATGATTTATGTTTGATGTCACTCGCACAAAATCGAAGACTTACAAGCGAAAACCGACAAACTGGTCGAAGAGGCTGGCAGCAAAGACAGGACTGCAGGTGAACATAGACAAGACGGAGGTTATGAAAATCACCAACCAACAACAGCAGCAACATCCAGTGCCAATCACCATCAACGGGAGGGATTTGAAAGAGGTTGCTTCTTTCACTTATCTAGGGAGCATCGTCTCAACCACAGGAGGAACGGACGAGGATGTCAAATCGAGAATCGGAAAGGCGAGAAACACATTCATCAACCTGAAACCAATCTGGAAATCTTCATCACTCACCATCAACAACAAAATTCGGATTTTCAATACAAACGTCAAGTCAATTCTGCTTTACGGATCAGAAACTTGGCGGGTCACCAAGAATATTTTCAACAGGTTGCAGACCTTTATCAACAACTGTCTTCGCTCCATACTGAAGATTAGATGGCCAGAAAGAATCACAAACAAGAAGCTATGGGAATAAACGAAACAGGAACCAATCGCCCAACAAATATGCAGGAGATAGTGGAGATGGATTGGACACTCGCTGAGGAGGCCGTTGAGTGACATCGCGCGTCAGGCCCTCGAGTGGAACCCGAAAGGGAAGCGGCGAGTGGGACGTCCAAGGGTGACATGGAGGAGATGAAACAGTATGGAATAACATGGACGCAAGTGAAAAGTACAGCAGAAGACAGAAGCAAGTGGAGACGTGCAGTTGAAGCCCTATGTTCCACTAGGAACCCAAGGGAACAATAATAATAATAAATAAAAAAATTAAAACCACATTTACCTTTTAATGAAACTTAATTTATCCAATGTAAAAAAAGAGATTTAATATAAACCATTTTTTTTGTAAATGAACGTGTGAAAAATTAAAAAATTTACCAATCTAATGAAGAGATTGCCAGTTCGTTATAATTCTTTAACAATATCAGCCTACAGCGGACGCCACTACTTCACAATACTAGTTTGTGTCAGTGCACAACGTTTTCTTAATTTGTTCTGCCTATCCAGATCGCTTCTCTACACCTATTGAATTCCATTCACGAATGGTGAATTGAAACAGTCTGTTCACAAAGTAGTACCATCCTCAGAGTCATTTTCTGATGATTGCATCTATTTGTGATTGGCGTGATTGTCTACGGACAAGGTGGACGAGAGATTGAAGACGAAAGAAGACAGAAACTGTAATTGTCGACTGCAGGAGGTGACGTCTGCGTTTCAGAAGGACACGACAACCTAGTAGTGATTACAAGCATGTCTGACAGTATGCTGACTGTGCAGTGCAACACTGGTTTCTGCTCACACTATGTGCTTGCTTCATTTGATTTCTGGTCTCCACCGAACTGACTTCCACAAATCACCTGCATTACAATCTACTGAGAGATCAGGTGTTCCGTTATGGGCACAGAGATTTACGCCTACCCGAACAACTCAGAAAGGCACAGTTTGAATTTACTCAGCATCTTTCGAATACTATTTCACACCTTATCTGTATTCTCATATTCCACAAATATGAAATTCCCACTCTGACGCCTATTTCGGTTGCATCTGCCTAGTCAATTTTATTCACTGTTTCCATTTATTCATGTCAGCATTCAGCAAATTGTTGATGTGACGTGTGTTGAAAGATTCGCTCGTCAGTGTGACTTCACTGTCCTTCATATTGTCAAATATATATATGTAAATATCTTTCGTTTGCATCTTTTCATAGAACAGACATCGATGCTAAATCCATTTGGATGAAAGCACATTTGAACTTATTTTCAATATGATAAAGTTATCTATGTATATGTTGACAAATGTGCACAAAAGTTCATCCTGGCTATTTTCATTTTATCAGCTCTATATTTGTGTTGCATGGTGGTGATTGATAATTCATAATTTCACCAGCATTTTATCGCATGTTTTACAGAATAAATTTCTTACAATGAAATTATTCCTATTCATGTTCTCACACATTATGTAATACCGTGTAGCATCAAAACATATTATGTTAATTACAAATCTATAATTTTATCAAAAAATTATATATTTCATTTCTAGCAATTTAAATAAATTAAAGCAATTTACTTTTGGATTGATCTAAATTTGTGGAGTAGAGAAGAATAAGTTTAAAACGAAATGAATTCATTTGGAATAAATATATTTTAAAAAATAAAAACAATGCCAAATTAACGTAGAGCTTGCGAGCTCATCCTAAATATCTGAAAAAATATACGTACAGCAAATATCACTCCTTCACAATACTAGTTTGTGTCAGTCCACAACGCTTTCATAATTTGTTCTGCCTATCCAGATCGCTTCTCTACACCTATTGAATTCCATTCACGAATGGTGAATTGAAACAGTCTGTTCACAAAGCAGTACCATCCTCAGAGTCTTTTTCTGATGATTGCATCTATTTGTGATTGGCGTGATTGTCTACGGACAAGGTGGACGAGAGATTGAAGACGAAAGAAGACAGACACTGTAATTGTCGACTGCAGGAGGTGACGTCTGCGTTTGAGAAGGACACGACAACCTAGTAGTGATTACAAGCATGTCTGACAGTATGCTGACTGTGCAGTGCAACACTGGTTTCTGCTCACACTATGTGGTTGCTTCATTTGATTTCTGGTCTCCACCGAACTGACTTCCACAAATCGCCTGCATTACAATCTACTGAGAGATCAGGTGATCCGTTATGGGCACAGAGATTTACGCCTACCCGAAGAACTCAGAAAGGCACAGTTTGAATTTACTCAGCATCTTCCGAATACTATTTCACACCTTATCTGTATTCTCATATTCCACAAATATGAAATTCCCACTCTGACGCCTATTTCGGTTGCATCTGCCTAGTCAATTTTATTCACTGTTTCCATTTATTCATATCAGCATTCATCGAATTGTTGATGTTACGAGGGTTGAAAATTATCGCGTCAGTGTTTCTTCGCTCTCTTTTTATTATTATACATATATATATATATATGGATATATATATATATGTTTATATTTAGTCAACACATATTGATAGAACAGACTACGATACTGCATGCATTGGGATGAAAGTGCACTATGACTTATTTTCAATATGATAAAATTATCTATGAATATGTTGACAAATGTGCACATAAGTTCATCCTGGCTATTTTCATATTATCAGCTGTATATTTGTACTAGCACGGTGATACTTGTTTACTCGTACTTTCAACAACAGTTTTTCGTTTTTTATGCAAAATATCTTTGTTTTAAATAGAAAATTCGGATCCTTTTCCAAACAAGATTTTATAGCAACTAGAATGAGAATGCTTTAGGATTAATCTCACAAGAACATATAATAATCACGAAATTCATTTGAAAGTTTATTAAAAAATATTGATCATTTAAAATTTACTTGTATCACACACTGCAATTTTGAGGAATGCAAAGAAATTAATGTTTTCTTGACAATATTTCAATAGTATAAATAAATGGCAAAAGAAATAATTATTACCAAGCTCACCAATAGAATGCCACATCAGTGTTTCTCTTTCAAGACAAAGCCATACACCAAATAACACTCCTTCACAATACTACTTTGTGTCAGTCCACAACGCTTTCATAATTTGTTCTGCCTATCCAGATCGCTTCTCTACACCTATTGAATTCCATTCACGAATGGTGAATTGAAACAGTCTGTTCACAAACCAGCACCATCCTCAGAGTCTTTTTCTGATGATTGCATCTATTTGTGATTGGCGTGATTGTCTACTGACAAGGTGGACGAGAGATTGAAGACGAAAGAAGACAGAAACTGTAATTGTCGACTGCAGGAGGTGACGTCTGCGTTTCAGAAGGACACGACAACCTAGTAGTGATTACAAGCATGTCTGACAGTATGCTGACTGTGCAGTGCAACACTGGTTTCTGCTCACACTATGTGCTTGCTTCATTTGATTTCTGATCTCCACCGAACTGACTTCCACAAATCGCCTGCATCACAATCTACTGAGAGATCAGGTGTTCCGTTATGGGCACAGAGATTTACGCCTACCCGAAGCACTCAGAAAGGCACAGTTTGAATTTACTCAGCATCTTCCGAATACTATTTCACACCTTATCTGTATTCTCATATTCCACAAATATCAAATTCCCACTCTGACGCCTATTTCGGATGCATCTGTCTAGTCAATTTTATTCACTGTTTCCATTTATTCATGTCAGCACTCATCAAATTGTTGATGTCACGTGGGTTGATAGATTCTCCCTTCAGTGTAACTTCACTCTGCACAATATTGTGATATGTATATATAGATTTATTTAATCAACACTTTTTGATGGAACAGACTTCGATACTGCAGGAATTTGGATGAATGCTCACTTTGACTTATTTAATATATGATAAAATTATCCATGTATATGCTGACAAATGTGCACAAAGTTCATCCTGGCTATTTTTTTGTTATCAGCTGTATATTTGTACTTGCATGGTGATACTTGTTTACTCATACTTTCACCAGCAGCTTATCGATTGTTATCCGCAATAACTATGTTTTGATTGAATAATTCTTATTCATGTTAAAAATCTATTTATTTGTTACAAAATTGCCTACTTATTTTGATGGTTGTATTAATACATTTTCAAATGTGTTCCCACAAAATTTCAGATATAAAATATTATCAATAATTCTTACATTCTTTGCAGTTTGCATATGCTAAAAACAGAAAATAAACAAAAACGAATTCTGATGATTTCTTTTAAAAAACTATACGAATAAACAAACAATATTACCAGGATAACGAAACACTGGCAGCTCATTCTAAGTCTTTGAAAACAAAGGAAAACAGCGAATATCAGTCCTTCACAATACTACTTTGTGTCAGTCCACAACGCTTTCATAATTTGTTCTGCCTATCCAGATCGCTTCTCTACACCTATTGAATTCCATTCACGAATGGTGAATTGAAACAGTCTGTTCACAAAGCAGCACCATCCTCAGAGTCTTTTTCTGATGATTGCATCTATTTGTGATTGGCGTGATTGTCTGCGGACAAGGTGGACGAGAGAGTGAAGCCGAAGGAAGACAGAAACTGTAATTGTCGACTGCAGGAGGTGACGTCTGCGTTTCAGAAGGACACGACAACCTAGTAGTGATTACAAGCATGTCTGAAAGTATGCTGACTGTGCAGTGCAACACTGGTTTCTGCTCACACTATGTGGTTGCTTCATTTGATTTCTGGTCTCCACCGAACTGACTTCCACAAATCGCCTGCATTACAATCTACTGAGAGATCAGGTGATCCGTTATGGGCACAGAGATTTACGCCTACCCGAAGAACTCAGAAAGGCACAGTTTGAATTTACTCAGCATCTTCCGAATACTATTTCACACCTTATCTGTATTCTCATATTCCACAAATATGAAATTCCCACTCTGACGCCTATTTCGGTTGCATCTGCTTAGTCAATTTTATTCACTGTTTCCATTTATTCATATCAGCATTCATCGAATTGTTGATATCACGTGTGTTGAAATATTCACTCGTCAGTGTTTTTTCACTTCGTAATATTGTAATACATATATATATGTAAATATTTATATATATATGTATATTTAGTCAGCATATTTTGATAGAACAGACCTCGATACTACATGCATTGGGATGAAAGTGCACTATGACTTATTTTCAATATGATAAAATTATCTATGTATATGTTGAGAAATGTGCACAAAGTTCATTCTGGCTATTTTCATGTTATCAGCTCTACATTTGTTCTTGTATGATGATACTTGTTTACTCATACTTTCACCAGCAGTTTATCGGTTGTTATCCACTATAAATTTGTTCAAAATATATTATTCAATTTCATGTTCGGGCCTAATTTTACAGGCAATTGATTGTCAACTTCTTTTCATGACACTCGCTGATATATACTTCTTAATCTTATCACGCTTTAATAGGAAAATATTATAAGACTTTTGCTTACTTTTCTTGCAGTATTCTTGAAGTGCAGTAGAAAATAAAAAAATTTCATTAAAACTTGGCCCTACAAGAACTAAAGAAATCAAATAATATCACTCGCAAGATCAAGAAAAAATTGCCAGTTCACTATCTCCCTATGACGTCAGGCTCACAGCAAATATCACTCCTTCAAAATACTTGTTTGTGTCAGTCCACAAGGTTTTCATAATTTGTTCTGCCTATCCAGATCGATTCTCTAAACCTGTTGAATTCCATTCACGAATGGAGAATTAAAACAGTCTGTTCACAAAGCAGTACCATCCTCAGAGTCTTTTTCTGATGATTGCATCTATTTGTGATTGGCGTGATTGTCTACTGACAAGGTGGACGAGAGATTGAAGCCGAAAGAAGACAGAAACTGTAATTGTCGACTGCAGGAGGTGACGTCTGCATTTGAGAAGGACACGACAACCTAGTAGTGATTACAAGCATGTCTGACAGTATGCTGACTGTGCAGTGCAACACTGGTTTCTGCTCACACTATGTGGTTGCTTCATTTGATTTCTGGTCTCCACCGAACTGACTTCCACAAATCGCCTGCATTACAATCTACTGAGAGATCAGGTGATCCGTTTCGTGGACAGAGATTCACGCCTACCCGAAGAACTCAGAAAGGCACAGTTTGAATTTACTCAGCATCTTCCGAATACTATTTCACACCTTATCTGTATTCTCATATTCCACAAATATCAAATTCCCACTCTGACGCCTATTTCGGATGCATCTGTCTAGTCAATTTTATTCACTGTTTCCATTTATTCATGTCAGCACTCATCAAATTGTTGATGTCACGTGGGTTGATAGATTCTCTCGTTAGTGTAACTTCACTCTGCACAATAATGTGATATATATATATATTTATTTGATGAGCACATATTGATAGAACAGACTTCGGTGCTACATGCATTCTGATGAAAGTTCATTTGGACTTGTTTTCAATATGATAGAATTATCTATGTATATGTTGAGAAATGTGCACAAAATTTCATCCTGGCTATTTGCATGTAATCAGCTGTATATTTTTACTTGCATGGTGATACTTTTTACTCATATTTTCACCAGCAGTTTATGGGTTTTTATCCACATTAACTTCGTTATAGATAAATTGTTCGCATCCTTGTTCACACACACACACACTTTATTTGTTACGGAATTGTTAACTATGGAGTGTTTTATTCCTCCAAATTCATTTAATATCAAAGGCGGTTATTCGTATTAAATTAAATTTTAAACAATATTTATTTACCTTCAATGCAGGTTTTCACTATAATATTTCGTTTAAAATATATCTTTTAATTTGCTTCACATTCAAAATATTTCATGATGAAAGATAATTCATTCCCCACCTTACGAATAACTTGCCAGTTCATTCTCTATCTCTGACGACATTGGCACACAGCGAATATCAGTCCTTCACAATACTGGTTTGTGTCAGTCCACAACGTTTTCATAATTTGTTCTGCCTATCCAGATCGCTTCTCTACACCTATTGAATTCCATTCACGAATGGTGAATTGAAACAGTCTGTTCACAAAGCAGTACCATCCTCAGAGTCTTTTTCTGATGATTGCATCTATTTGTGATTGGCGTGATTGTCTACGGACAAGGTGGACGAGAGATTGAAGACGAAAGAAGACAGACACTGTAATTGTCGACTGCAGGAGGTGACGTCTGCGTTTGAGAAGGACACGACAACCTAGTAGTGATTACAAGCATGTCTGACAGTATGCTGACTGTGCAGTGCAACACTGGTTTCTGCTCACACTATGTGGTTGCTTCATTTGATTTCTGGTCTCCACCGAACTGACTTCCACAAATCGCCTGCATTACAATCTACTGAGAGATCAGGTGATCCGTTACGTGGACAGAGATTCACGCCTACCTGAACTACTCAGAAAGGCACAGTTTGAATTTACTCAGCATCTTCCGAATACTATTTCACACCTTATCTGTATTCTCATATTCCACAAATATCAAATTCCCACTCTGACGCCTATTTCGGTTGCATCTGCCTAGTCAATTTTATTCACTGTTTCCATTTATTCATGTCAGCACTCATCAAATTGTTGATGTCACGTGGGTTGATAGATTCTCCCGTCAGTGTAACTTCACTCTGCACAATATTATGATATGTATATATAGATTTATTTAATCAACACAAATTGATAGAACAGACTTCGGTGCTACATGCATTCGGATGAAAGCACACTTTGACTTATTTTAATATGATAGAATTATCTATGTATATGTTGAGAAGTGTGCACAAAATTTCATCCTGGCTATTTTCATGTTATCAGCTGTATATTTGTATTTGCATGGTGATACTTGTTTACTCATACGTTTGCCAGCAGTTTATGGGTTTTATCCAAAATAACTTTGTTATAAAGTATATTTTTCCAATCCCTGTTCACACACTATTTTTCAAGGCCTATATTTTCAGCCTGTTTTGATGCTGCTAGCTTAAATTATTATATGAAAACAATCCATTATAATATATAGTAAATATTTTAAAAATATCAATTTACATTTTGTTTTGTCTTCAGCTTTTTGATTGAGGAATAAAATAAAATATTATTGAATTGAATTTATTATAACAAATTCATGATAACAGATAAAATCTTTTTCAAGCTCACGAAGAACTTGCCCGTTCATTCTCTATCTGTGACGACATAGGCATACTGCGAATATCACTCCTTCACAATACTATATATATGTCTGATTTTCCACAAACTTTAAGATATGCAAGCGGAAATCAACAAGTTGGTAGAAGAAGCATCGAAGATAGTACTTCAGGTAAACATAGAGTAGATAGATGTGATGAAGATTCCTTGGCTACACCATCAACAGCAACAACGACAACAACAGACAATAATCAGCATAAATGGGAGGAACCTGAAAGAAACGACCTCTTTTACCTACCGACCTGGGAAGCATCGTTTCAACTACAGGAACACGGAACTGACGAGGATATCAAAGCAAGAATCGGAAAAGCAAGAAAAGCTTTCAATACTCTCAAGTCTGTGTGGATGTCAACAGCACTCGGCGTGAAAAATAAGATCCGGATTTTCAAATCCAATGTGAAGTCAGTGCTACTCACTATACGGTTCAGAGACTTGCACTGCACGTCATAAAGAGCATCTCAAACAAACTACAGACCTTCATTAACAGTTGTCGTTGCTCAATACTCAAGATCAGATAGCCGGCCAGAAAAGATCAGCAACAGAGATCTCTGGGAGCGAACCAACCAGTAGCTGGCTGTGAAACAAATAGGCAGGAAGGAATGGAGATGGATTGGCCATACTCTGAGGAAACCATCAAGTGACATCACTAGACATGCCTTTGATTAGAAACCTAAAGGGAAGCGGCGAGTTGGTCGTCCAAGTGTGACTTGAAGGAGGTCATGTGAAGAGGAGATGAAAACGTGTGGGCAGACTTGAAGCCAGGTGAAGACTCTAGCAGAGAACCGAACGCAATGGAGACGCACGACTGAAGCCCTATGTTCTTCTAGGAGTTAAAGGATACAATAATAATAATAATACAATACTAGTTTGTGTCAATGCACAACGTTTTCATAATTTGTTGTGCCTATCCAGATCGGTTCTGTACACGTATTGAATTTTATTTACGAATGGTGAGTTGAAACATTCTTTTATGAAAGCAGTACCAATCTTTTAGTCTTTGTATTGGTCGCATCAATATGTATTTCTCATGATTGTCTACTTCTCTTTGGATCGCTTCTAATGAAGCTATCCTAATAAGATTCTTATTCTCAGATTTTTCTGTTATTATGCTTTTTGTTGCTTTTTTCTTGCTTATCTTTTTCAGATGTTCCTAATTGCATTAATAATATATATATCAGTTAATTTCCTTATTTCTTCAACCGATATTTTAATTTTTTATCGTTTTACTTGTAAATTTATTTCCCTGATGTGTGATTATTCAATGTCCAAGCTACAGCCATTTTCTCTGTGAAAAACTTTGACTTCTTCAACTGGATAATATGTCACTTAACATTTATGTGCATTATAGATTTTCAAAATGCTGTGGAATTCCATCTCTCAAATAATTGCATAAATGTTTCTATTTTATGCTATGTAGAATCGTGTTTTTATAAAAACAAAATTAAGTTAAGATTTTCAATCTATTGAGAGCAGTTCAGTTATTCACATAACTAATATTTCTGCCAAAGTTGACTATTTGCACAGTTTTATATGAGGCTTGTGCATATTTCATGTATGCGGTGGATTGATCACCTGGTAATACATTTCATACTGTTCGTTCAAATACGTGAATTTATTGCTGAATGTGATTTGAGAGGGGTGGATGAAAACAGGTGTGATATTCTCTAATGTCTTTTGTTCAGAATTGGAGAATGATATCTAATTTCAGTAATGATGTGTTTTACTAAAAGTGTTTTGGTCATTCAAACCATACAGTGTGATAGTCTTTAGTTTACTGTTTCATCGCTATCCTTAAGCTGGACGTCTGAAGTTTAGCGTTTTATTTGACTAAGTGTTAACACTATAAAGGACCGTAGTGACCATAAATCTACCCATGTCATTAGCAAATCAGTTATATTCCTAAGGCTAAACGTTAACAGCGATAAATAATTTGCTGGGATGAAAGTCACTACAAGTCTGCATTAAAAGGTTTAACATTATCATAGAAATGTGTAGAGTTGTTCTCATTTACTTCATACTAAACCAAATATTAGAAGGACTAAAATCACACTAGCATGAACAGTGTTATTTATGCACTCAAGAATAACACCTTCACCTAATTAGAGTGTTAGATTAGTGTCCAAGCAATGATTTGGACGGTTTCAGTTGTATTTCCCGTCCTCTTCACAATTTTAGTGGTTATGCTTATGAAAGTATTACAGTATTTAATGGTGAACATATTGGCTAATATGAAACTTATTTAATCAATCTCTGATCAATGCACATATATAAATGTTCATGAGGTTTCCCCTATTCAGTGGAATATATTATAAGTTTGTCTTGAACTGTTTCTATCATGGTATTCGCAATATCTACAATGTCTGCTGTTGACATAATCAACCAATTTCATAGAATTAATCAGAAACACGTACATGTAAACTCAAATTACACAGCTCAATATAACCTATGTAAATCAGTTCAACTTTGACAACATTGTGATTTCAGTAAAGTGACAATGAAATTTAAAAAGTAATACGCCAAAACTGCTTTGAATATGTCAAATTCTACTTGAAACAATAATAATCACATAAAATTGTACTTACATGCTTCGCTTGGCTTGATGAATATTGTGAATGCTTGAACGATCAACAACAGCGCACAGAACTTCATTATCATCTTCTTTTCCCAGAACGTGTAAACAAATAAAAACAAGTCTTTATATAGTGTTTTAATACCCCTGCCACGTATAAGACCATAAAGATTCCTAAAAATAATTCAAAATATCACCTTATTTCTTTTTGAAAGAATGTGGCCTGATAATAATTACAAATATAACCATATATCTGTTCATGGTGTACTTTGTTTACAAGGTCACCGGAATAAAAGAACACTAATTTAACAAAGAATAGATGAGGTGATTCCAATCACTGTGCATACGAAATTTCGCATAACTTTAGAACAGCATATAGACTATTTTCGATGATTTGCACATAACAAAATATCACTGTTTAACACGAAAACGCTGAAGCGTAATGGATTCGTTAAGGAATAGTTAAGCAGCATATCAATTTCTCAAATGATCTATAGAATGAATACAATTATAAGGTTTGCAATTTGAAACACTCAGGGTTTTTATTTGGACAAGATTCTTTTCTTTTATACAGACATCAGATCTCTTTATCAATGCCTGAATATATTATCATGAATAATTATTGGGTTGTACATCTTATCTCTCATTGAAAGCAAACAAAATTACAACTGAATAACTTTCCTTCATTGCCATTCACTGAGAAAACAATTTACAAATCTCATTTAACTGAGACTAAATTCAGGTAAATCACCCCTGAACACCAAGTTTCTGGTGAAGACATTCACTAGAAATTTCGAAATATATTTCCTTACCAATTTTTGTTAAAGAGATCCTCAATGATGAGCGAACATTCACGTCAAATATGTGTAGTTCAGGAAGTTGTTGTCATTTTCTAACATCATTTGTAAACAAGGTTTAGCCATAATAGATGACCTGCATATACATGTTCAGTGCATGAACGTGTGAAATACGTCATGGTTCTATAGTTTAACCGTCGAATAATCGTCTCGCTAATGCCTGGCAATGAATCCATCATATCTGGCTAACTAAGGTGACTTGCTGATGAGAGACAGATATTTACTGCTACTTCAAAATGTCTGACCAAGCTCAAACACACCTGAATAACAATGACTTTTGTGACAAAAGTGAATCGACAAAATTATTTTGAGTCTTCAGACACTCAGATTAATTATTCGGCATAAACTTATCTCTGAGACATAATAAACAAACACCAACTGGCAATCAATAAAATGCTTCCGATGACTAAAACATTAGACTGTCGATTATATCAACTGTCCATACAGTGCTCATAGCAAATGGTGGCATGGAAAACGTTCAGATCTCCATGCAAGGTTATTCAAGAAAATAGAGCTGAAAGGCTCAACCCTACTTAAGCTTTGATTTCTCGACTAATTATTGAGACGTGATGCTCAGTGAATATTGGTGGGTATAATTCTCTTGGCAAAACAAATTTTCGGCCAAAAGGCGAAGAAAAATTATTGTCTATATACGTGCAAAATATTTGAGGTTACAAATAATTGGAAACTGTGGTTGGCTTAAGTAAGATATGTTTCAAAGTTTCTTCCTAGATTGCAAGTTTATAAACGACAGTCTGCATATGCCCACTGAATGAAGTGAGAAAGTGAAAGTCATGTTGGATGAACATCCAACATTATACAAGAAGGAGTGACTAGTTTCGAATCGATTCACCTGGATACACAACTGACATTCACGTATATAGAAACAAATGTTAAGGTGAGTCAGTCGGCAAATCCCTTCGTCTGGTTATGATAGTCATCACCAACCCTGTGAAGAAGCAGGTTCATTTGTTGAATGACACCTAGTTTGGTGAATGTCGAGGTCAGTGTGTTTGACACGGAGCTGTGTAATGGGACCAATAAGCAAAGTGATAAGACGAATATTTGAGAATTGTGCTATTATGATAAATTAATTCACTAAACACTGATTTCACTTTTCTTGGTAATCCATGTGTTTAATTGAAAAAAATGAGATTCGATCCAGTCATCTATCAGAGGTTTGTGACTGTATCAATCCCCGTTAGACTGTGCACATGAAGTCGAATTCGCCATATTTACTGTGAACTCAATTTCTTGAATGTGATCACAAAACCCTGAAACAAAATGATTCACAGTTCCTTGCTATGTGCGATCAGTCGACATATGATAGAATCGCGTGTAAGACAGACGGTCTGTTTATTCAAACTCATAGAATCCTCAAGGTTAGATTACTCGATTGATAGGTTTGTAGACATGATTGTTACCGTAACCTCAGTACTATTAAGATAGCTGTTGTGTATTTGTAATGATATTTGTGTTTCCTGCAGTCGTCGGGATGTCTAAAACTTCCTCGTCTTTCCTCCAAATTTTGTTCTTGTCGTTCTCGGAGTCTGCATCCCTTCACTCACTGGTACCAATGGTGTCGCTATCGAGTAACATATATTCTATCGTGTGGTCGATATTGAATTGGTGGATGGTGACTAGCAGTGGAATCCAGGATGCGCATTTCGTCCTATTTGGGAGTCGTCACTGGATGTACCTGCATTTCTCAGTAAGTGATGATGTTCCCACCGAGGCTCAAACCCAGTGCCCATGGTTTCAAACACCAAAGCGTTATCCACTAGACCACTTTGGCCACGAGAGACACCTCTTGTGCAACGGGTCCTACTGATTTAATTGAATTTTGGATTTTCCTGGATTCCACTGCTAGTCACCATCCACCAATTCAATACTAATTAAATGCCCAGACATCGTCGAAGCATCTGCCCAAGAAGCCGATATGTCAACCTGAGACCGAGCACTTCGGTCCAATCAATCGACGGGAAAATCCAAAATTCAATTAAAGTGTGGTCGATATGTTTATTAAGATTTCTGAATCATCTATTACCGTCCTATTTGCATATTTGTACAACGTCAAACGAATCTGACTTTGCTCTTACAATCTCGTATTACCTAGAGTCTAGATAATTCTTGTACCACCTGACTATCTTGATAATCTAGATTCTAATCACCGAAATACCCAGTGAGTTATGAAGAAAATGAAAGACAAATTCAGTGAAGATAATTTTCTTTATCGACGAAATCTTTATCAGAGGCTGTACATGGTATTTATATTTACCAAAAATATATAGTGGTCTGTTATTTATTACCAGGGAGTGACATAGTTGAAATAATTACTCAGAAGTGGCTTTAGAAGTGAAAGTTGTAAATTACGTGGTACTCAATTGCACATAGATAGAAATTTGACTAGGTTAAAATTGCTGCTGAGTGAGAATAAAGGTAGTTAGGTGTCAATTGAAGAAGTGGGAAGAGGGTATGAAAGTGTACAAAGGGAGCATATGAGAGTGATAATTTTGAATTAATTATTAAAGTAAAAGCAAACTAAAAGTAAAGCTCAAAATTATAAAGAAGAAAATAATAAAATTATTTTACAGCAAATGACTAGTGAAGAGGTTTAACACTACTGGAAATTTCTTCTTCGCAGTCACATCCGCAAAAATCATCGCCCTTTGAAAGGGCATACATTGAATGTGACCGATGACATAAAATCTCGACTACCAGAGATAGAAAAAAACATTTCACTGAGAACACATGCTCGATTTGAACTGACCGAGGAAGAGCAGCGGAATTGTATGGACTACGTCAATTTGGTTTCAAGAAGATGTTAGGAAGATTTAAACCTGAAACTCGCAAATAGTCTCAAAGCTGCTGACACTTATTCACGTTTTTCTGCCATACCAGAGGAATACGTTTCCAACTACTCTTGTATATCCCTAGCTCCTATACAATTGCAAGCCTTGTCGCTATGCCCAAAATTCTGTGATATTATGACAATTTCGAGTGACTTGGATATTAAAGTCCAGTTGGAAGCACTGATCCATCAGACAAATGACCTTCTCCCAGTGTCAGACAAATCAAATGGACAATTCAAGTCTACAGTATTGAATAGCTGCCATCAGTACATCAACACAAAACTAGATGTCAAAAGACTGATTTCGGCCGAGCAGAGAGAGCGACTACATGAGATTTGAAAGAATAAAGACTTCTTTCTGACCCACCCCGATAAAGGTGCCGACACTGTCCTGATGGATCGCCAAGACTACATCGATAAAATGTTATCCGTCATGTCAGATGAAAACAAATTTTCAAACGAAAGTAGCCAGAAAGATCAGACGGAACAAAGTGAATGCTGAAGAAAATGAAGAACGAATCAGTTATCAACTTTGAATTATTTGAGTAAATACGACCCTCAGGTTTCGTGATTCCTCGTTTATATGGTCTGCCGAAAGTGCACAAAGAGAACGTGCTACTGCGTCCAATCTTGGATATGACAATTTCCCCATATCATGCTACTGTCAAATGGCTCGCAGACATCCTCCTATCTATCAGAAATAACCTCTTCATGCATAGTGTTTCTGATTCGTTTGAATTCGTCGATTCAATAAGTGATGCTAATGTATCCGGGAAGAAAATGATATCCATGAATGTTACCTCCTCTTTGTCGATGTTCCTCTCACTGAAACTATTTGCTTTATATGCACACTGATTGAGAATAACAACGTAGACGTGTGTGTTCCGAACTATTATTGAGGTGGGCTTTAAATGTTCTATTCAAATTCAACAACACGTTTTATAGACAAAGAAATGGAGTGGCGATCGGGTCACCATTGGGTCTTTTACTTGCATACTTCTTCTTGGCAAGTTTGGATAATAGCATGTTACGGCCTACTATCGGAAGTTTCCATTTGTACCAAAGATACATTGATGATACTTTCATCATATGTGACGACAATCACGACATCGAATTGATAACCTAAGAGTTCGACAGCTGCCATCATGCCATCCAATTGACATCAGAGTCAGACTCGGAATTCCATTTTGTGGATGTTTTTCTAAACAGTAGATCTGATGGTTCTCTTCAAAGACCGATCTACAGGAAACCAACATGGGATGGGTCCATATGAGAAGGAAGAGAAACCTGATCTACTCCTTATTATCAAGAATAAGAAGGATATGTTCCAGTGATACAATCGATGGGGAACTGGGCGACTCAGACAAGTCCTCATAGAGAATGGATATCCTCCAAGATTTAT